CATAAAATTACTAAAAATTTGCCTAAAATTCACCACAATTTACATTACGTTTGCATAAAATTACTAAAAATTTAACTAAATTCACCACAATTTACACTTCGTTTGCATAACATTACTAAAAATTTGCCTAAAATTTCCCACAATTTAATGATAATTTACTGAAAAATTTCTCAACATTTGAATTAGAAATTCTGTAGGAATTCCGCCATTTTGACAAAATTTGCCAAATTGTAAGTCCTCCATTATCCCAAAATTGTAACACAATTTACCTCAATTTACCGGGATAATTCTCAATTTGCCAGAAAAATTCCAGGCAAATTTTGCGACAATGACATCTGTTCGACCTGTGTAGTCAACCTCCTGATAACTTGTATATATTAAATAACGGGGATAGCGGTAAATTTTTTGATTTTAATTTTTTTTTAAAAAAAAATTTTGAGGATGAATATAACTGGATACTTTGCTGTGTAACATCTTTATACAGAAACAAACATGACAATCATTTAAAGTAACAATTTAAACATTAATATTTACTATTACAGTTGATTTGTCACATCGGTACTTATTATTTGATAAATTGGATTTTGAGTTTTTATATAATCAACGAAAACTTCATGAGGCATATAGTTCAAAACCTCTTGAGCAAAAATTCAAAATTGTTGGAGCAAGTTCAAGAATAACAGAAGAAGTAAGTTCAATTCAGCCAAATAAAGCCAGTCATATTGTTGCTTATTTCACCAAAAATGAAAATCCAGAACAAAGATTTGTAACCCAAAGGGAGAAGCGATGGAAAGATAATCGAAAAAATATTGCTATAATATTAGCACAGTTACATGCTCAAGAATTGGCTAAATCTAAAAAAGAAAAAAAATCAAATAAAAGAAACGCTCAAGAAGGTTTGATTGAAAGTAAGTTTTATAATAGTCATGTTTCTAAAAAAAAATTTATTTTAATCTTTATTAATTTTTTTTTTAAAAAAAAAATAGTTCCAAATATTGAAACTGCTAATATATGTACAAATTTTCCATTAGAGATAGGAGATTATGTATTTGTTCGATATGATTTACAGATGTGCGTTGGACGAGTTGAAGCTTTGTATTTTGAGGCATACAATCACCATTGTTATACTCGTGAAGCCATTAAAGACCTTAACGATATTTCATATATTTCGCTACATGTATTTATGCCTTTATATTTGGAATTATTTACTGATAAGATTAAGGAAGGTTGTTATATCCTTACACATCAAATTCCTTCAAATATTGTATATCATATTAAACAGGATGGGGTAGTAGTTGAGGGAAATTTTCTAAGATTAGTTGGCAATGAAAAGCGATACTATTTTAATTATTTTGAACGAGAAGATATTATTGAAAAAATGTTAAAATAAGTGATTTTATTAAATAATGAATCGTTATAATAAATCATGTGACATTAAAGTTAGAAATTTGATTTGCGTATTTTTGCCAATTTTTAAATGTCAAGTGCTAAGAATGCGTACCACTCTTATAAAAAACCCTTGCGTACAGCTAATAGTAAAATTTTTGATCATCACCTGACCCCTATATGTATATTTCTGAGTCCTGTTGGGCTTATAAAAAGACAAAAAATATTGTTAACAATGTTGTTATAGATTTAACAACAACATAATTTGGATCATTTAACTTTAATTTTTTATATATTTATTTTTATTTTTAATTCTATATTTACTTTATTTTAGTTTATTTGTTACTTTTTACTATTAATTTTTACTTTTATTTTAAATTTTATTTTAAATTGCATGTTTATTTTTTCTTTTTCTATTTTATTATTATTTTTATTTATATTTTATTTGTATTTTATTAATGTTGTTATTTTCTTTATTTGTTTTGCTATTATTTATATTTTGATGATCGCATCCTATTGGGTGAATATAGCTTATGATAATTTGTTTATATGGTATATGAACTTAATATCAATAAAGTATATATAAATCATTAAAAAAATATATATATATATATATTATAATATATAATCAACTTTTTACACTTACATTTTTAAAATAATTTTAAATGCATATATAGCAATCTTTATAAGGAGCTAATAATAACTGGACCAGATTTTTAACAAATATATATAATACATTTATATCAAACCTAATGAATATATTCAATAATACAACTTGAAATCTTTTATGTTTTTTGTGTTACTTTATAATTTAAGATGCTAGAAATTATCATACAGGCAATCCACTAAGAAAAGCTATTTAAATTTGTTTATTTTACAAATTCAATGTTCTTTTAAAAAATTTTATAAACAATGTATGGTCTGGTGCAAAAAGATTTGTACATCAAAAAAAATGGCAATAAAAAATTTTTTAATAAATTAAATTTCATTTTTTTTTATATAAATCTTATTAGTATATATTCAGAAATATTATAATATCATTATTACACCAAATTGTGCATCATTATCAGATTTACTATAATTATTAAATTTTTTATTAATTAGGCCACTCCAACTCAATTCTATGTTTAACATAACCCCCCTCTTTTTCGAAATTTTACATAAAATATTATACATTATAAAACAGCTAATAAAATCACAGTATTTTTTGTTACGTAATATTTAATCAATGCAAATCTATCGTGTAAAAATAAAATATAACAGATAATGTAAATCCTACTACTTAAATAAAATTTGAAATGCAAAATCTACTGCTTAAGTATTATACCATATGTTTTTATAAATATTCCGATGATTTTTACATGTTAGATAATGATGTTTTATGGTACAGTCAACTCTCTTTATAGTCACACATTTGGGATAGTCCATATTTGGTGATTATAAAGAGATGTGACTATATAAAAATTTCTTATATTAGTATATCATAATTCTGGCTAAAAATTAACATAATTTTGGCCAAAATTATACTTAAAACTTTATTGTATCATAACTCCGCCAATATTAATCGTAGATAAATAATCATACTGCCATTTGATTCATCTCAATGAGACGGTTCTAATGGTATAAAATACATCAAAACCCAATCACTAGATTAATTTCCAAAATTAAAAAAATATTAATGGTTTTGTGTAATAACTTTGTCAATATTGATCCTAGAAAGACGATCTTACTACCATTCGATTCGTCTTGATGCGACGAATCTAATGATATAAAATACATCGAAATCCAATCACTAGATCAATTTCTGAAATTAAAAAATATTAAATGGTTTTTAAGTAGTAACTCCGTTAATATCAATCGCAGAGAAATGAGCTTACCACCATTCAATTCGTCTTGATGAGACAATTCCAACGAGCTATTAATCGTCTTTTTACAATTACTAGGTACTGAAAAATTTAGCAAAATGTTAAATGGCACAGTAAACGTAAATCAAGAATATAATAATGCTGATGCTTAACATTTTGTTAAATAACTCATCAGCCAGTGATCGTAAAGGGATAAAACTACTACCATTCGATTCGTCTCAGTGAGACGATTCTAACAAGCTATGGTACATCTTTGTATGATTATTAGATGCCAAGTTATTTAATATATTCTTTATATAACTGTGATTATAAATGGTTCTTTTTAATATAAGGTTTTCGAGGATAGGTGTGATAGTGACTATAGATAGATTATGACTATATAGGATAGATTTTAATAATAAAGTGTTTTGAACATTCAACTGGTGTGACTTAGTGACTATATAGTAGAATGTGACTATAATGGAAGTGACTATAGAGGGGCAAATATAAATCTTGATTCATCTCATGATTCATGCATGAATTTTAACCTATTGAAATATGCAACTATATGCAAGTTGATGCACCCCCTTTTTTGTATTAATCTTGACCCAGACGCGTGATATTTGAGTGTAATATTTATAATATTTTAATATTTTGTAATATGATATACTGATATCTAATAAACAATTTTTTTTTTTGTTTATAAAAATGAAAAAACACCCAGATTTTCTTTTAAGTATTAATACTGTACGAAAAAAAAATGTAGTTTTATTTTATAAAATAATAAAATATGTTTATTTTTTCAATATTTGCAGTTTTTAACTTTTGAATTCTAAATTGTGGTGCAAAATATTAGATTCTTTACTTTATTATTGGTAATTATAACAAATAATATTCAAAGCTGTTTGTTTTCCCATTTGAACTTGGATTAATATTAACATTTGTAAATGAATTACTACTCAAGGCAGTGTTGTACATTTTTGATGACTGCAGCTTTTTTGGTTATCCTAAACATGTCCACGCTCTGTCTGTACTCTTCTGTAACTTAAAAAACTCTACAAAAATTATGTATATTTATGCATAATTGGATGTTAAATATTTTTGCTAAGTATCGAACAAGGTTATCATAGTAAAATTTTGAGGAGTTATCATTTCTTTTTTGTATAATATGTTCTGAACATTGTCCTGTGATAACATTGACTCAAGGTATAGTTATTTGAAGGAGTAACAAACTGCTGTTTTTATCCATTAGGCAAATGTAAATTTAACAAATTCTATTCTTCACGAAAGTGTGAATTTATAGGCAATGAATAAGGAGTTACTTACATACTTGGCAAATATTCATAATTAAAGGGTGAAGGATGAATACTAGTAAAAGAGTGTGTAGAGTGTGCGTAAGAATAAGGTGTACACTCCCGCGTCAAAAGTTTAGGACCACCCAGTAAATTTTTAAAAAATTGGTTTTTTTAATAAACCAACATATTTTTAAGCTATAAAAAATCATTTATAATTACTTTAATGGATAAAGAACAATTATTTATTATTAGGCGAGACAAAGTTAAAAATTCAGTTCTCATATCCCGCCCGCGTCAATAAAGTGACACTCCGAACTTTTAATTTTTTTTATGATAACCAATCAAATTTAACTCACGTGAATATACTAATAAAATTGAAAATTAAAACTTTTTTAAAACTGTTTTTAAATTTAAGCTTAAAATATTAAATGTTTTATCAAAATGTTTAATATACATGCTGCGCTGCTAAACGTGAAATCAAAAAAAAATAAAAAATTGTCTAAATCAAATCTTTGTACGCTTTCCCTTATCTTTACCACCCTGTTTTCACTTTAGACGTTTCTTTGAAATGGCAGTATTATCACTGCAACTACTGCAATGTAGGAATTTGTCTTCTGCTGTTTCGTTAATATCTAAGCTTCCACACTCAATGCAAACATCCGGATAGATTCCAGCTGAATAATATGGTTTTTTAATCTGTGACGTACAAGACCAAGAATCATTAACAAAAACTCTTGAAAAAAGTTCACGAATAGAATCCTTTATATTGTTATCAGATTCATTCTCATCATCTGAGTTTTCAGATTCGTCTTCATTACAATCATCCCCCTCATCCAAATTTTCTATTTCATCGTGTTGCTTTGATGGTACGGGTGTGGTTATTGCCAAATCGCATGTATTATGAAATAACATGCTGCAGGTATAGAAGATTGTGTCTAAGAAACTTTGTAGCCTTGTCCTATCCTTTTTGGACAATTTTCTGGCGCTGAATAATAGACGTGGTTTCTCACACTCAGCACAATTTACAACAACACCAACATTTTTTGCACGTATAGCAGAAGGGCAAAAGGGCATACTATGTTTCACTTTTGTAGTTATCATATTTTCTTTTTTTTTTGCTTTAGCATCCCTAAACGAAGGTCTATGATCTTCTGTTGTTGGTGTACCATATAGCTTTTCAAATGATATGTAATGCGAGTCTTCACCAGGTACTGGATCTGAAAAATGATGCAATTGTTCAAAATCTTCTGTTGAACAACGAATAGGACTGCAAATAGTACAAGTTGATTCACCACATTTCTTGATTGAAAAAAAGTAATGCCTTGACTTATAACAGTGCTCTAAGAATTCTTGCATATATTCCTATAACAAAGTTACATTAATGAAAGTTTTTTTACGCAAAAATTAATCAATTTTATTTACCTTTCATTTTATATGTTCTGCAGTACGATCTTCATGAGTAACACTATCATCTACAATCTGAATTGTTTCCCAAAATCTTTCTATTTCCGTTTCTGATGCTGCTGGAAATTTTTGAAAGGCTCACCTTTAAGAGCTTGACGACTAAACACATCACGAATCAAATGAATTGGAGCTTGAAGGCTTGTAATTAGATCTTCCTTCAGGTTAGGATTCTCCTCTGCAATTTTGCGGATTTCATTCATTGTACCACACTTACTCATTAGATTTTCAGACTGATCATTCATTTTAGCTCACATCAAACCAACACTTTGAAGTCCTAGATTCAGGATTGACATGATGCGCTCAACAGGATTTTTCCATGAATGTTGTGGTGGAGTTCGGACTGCAACAAGATAATCAAGATCTAATGCAAGAAAAAGACAAATATACAAGAGTTGGACTCGGGTATATGTACAATGATGGTCTGGACCACCATCCGTATAGAGACATAACACAGGCTTGTTATAAAGATTTTCATCAAGTAGTATATTAAACAATTCTGTTGCATGTCGGAGAGGTGAGGAAGGTTGAAAAATTGGATCCTTTAATCTAATGCGTACTTTTCCCACATAGAAATCACCATTGATCGATTCTGGAATGTCACATATCATCACTACACTTGGTATAATTCCCGTTTTTGTAAAATCATAATCGGCTACTGTGAATGTGGTGTCTTTACTAACAACTACTTTCTTTCCCCTCTCTATTGCAGCAACAGGAAATCCAGGTTCACCAACTTTGCAACGATGCTTATCATCTAGAAAAATCATATTTGTGATCTCACGGAATTTCACTGCAAATTCCTTCTCATATCGAAATA